TTTTTATCTATTAAAAGAAGCACCTATTATCTTTCAAACTATTCATTTATTTTATATGCTGTTTTATTGTTGTTCTAACTATTTTGCAAGTCATAAAGAGAATTTTTAACCCAAAGTTTAGTTAAATGCATTTTCAAATATAGTGTATGGTATATTGATAGTTATAGATGTCAAGTGCAACAATATAGTTTATGGTCCAAATTTAATCTAAATAATTGAAAAGGTCTTTAAAACCAGAGTACTTCAAAAGCTAGTACTGTTTGTGCTAATATTCTAAAAATGCTTTCATGACAATTAGCATTAGCTGTGCCCCATGCCGTGTGATTTAATAGCAACAGCAGCAATACCTGATAACTATCCATATCACCATCATCATCATCTCCTTTCTGATGGAAAAAAATAAGCTTTATAAACACATAGAACATGCATTATTGGTAACACACCTCAACAAATGCAAGATACATGCAACACAGATTTTGAAATACCCCTCTCCCTCATATTAGCCTCAGTAGTTGACTGACATTGCTCAAGGAAGCAATCAAGTGTTTCTCCTCTCTTACATACGCAATAAGGTTATGGGAGCTCAGGCTTCTAGCTATGCTGGCTGGGTTATTCTGGGAGTTGAAGTCCACACATCTTAAAGTTACCAAGATTGGGAATCGCCAGCATAGAAGCCTGAGTTTCCCCTAACTTTATTGTGTGTGTAAGAGAGTCAGGTGTTCCCCAAAGACTGGGAAATTCTGTTCTATGCTGCTGATGTGATCTGTCAGTTACACTTTCTCAAGGAAAATAAACTCTATAAAGGAGAGTTTCTTACAATCAGACATAAAGTAGCAGGATGCTCTGGCCACCACAGGCACCCCTGATACGAGTGACTTCAAACTGGCCATGCCGCCCCTGACCACACACACCCCAAGATCAAACACAACCCCAATGTGGCCCTCAATGAAATTGAGTTTGACACCCCTGTTCTAAAGTAAAAAATGAAAATGTTTTAACTTTTCCCCATCTGCATCTGAAAAAGCAGCACACACATGTGCCTATGGTAGAAATACATGTACTCATAGTGTTAACGGAATTTGTTTAAGAACTTCTAAGTCATAGTTTGCATCAGGATAATCTGGTTCTTTTCCAAGTGTTTGGAAGTAAACTTTCAAAAGCCCCAGCCAGTCTGTCCCATAGTCAGAAATTCTGAGAGTTTTAGTTCAAAATAGCTACAAGTCACCAAGTTATTTAAATGGGGGCAGGAATCACACAAACATCACCACTGCGTTTTGAAATATGTGAAAGAGAGAAAGGGTGGGAGGGAGGGAGATAATAAGAATATTAAGATCCCATGACTTTAGCTTGGCAGGCAGATATATTTCTTCCATACTGCCCAGGCTTGTCTATTTTTCATTCCATATCTCCCAATAAAGAACTGCTGATCTTATAATGATCTGAAGGTCAACAAATGAGTCAGAAGGAAGTTGTGTACATAGTACTAATTCTAATATTGGTGCAATGTTTCGTTTGTGAGTTACAATGCATAAACTTTGAGAAAGCATGTCAAATGCACAGGTTGACAGCTATATTATATGCCACCACTGAAAGACTACATTTGCACCATGCTTTAATATTTCAATATTTAAAAGGCCTACCTGGTAACTGTCTAAGCCCCGTTGCAATTTGGTTGATCTGGCAGTCACACAGCCAATGGAAATGGACAGAATAGCTTCAACCATAAGTGGCAACGTTCCTGAGTGTTGCACTGGTGTAACTACCACCTGAACTCTACGAGAATGACCCTGCACAATTAAAGAAAGGGAGAGGGGGAAGTAATATAAAAAAAATATACAAATATGCTAGCATTATTTTTAGAGGGGAGAATCCCATCCACTCTACCTGTCTAAGTTGGAAAATTCCTCCTGTGTTTACATCTTTTGCCTGGTGAAGCTCCACAGCTGCATAATCACCAATTTCATTTAGTTCTTGAATTGAAACCCACATTTCTATTCGACGTGTTACTTCATTCCACCTAAAAACATGTAAAAGAAATCAATAATTATACTTTTCAGGAGCCTCAAAATAACTAATTCCTGATGAAGATTCAAGGATAATGTAATACCTGTCTCTCAATGTCCTAGATTTTGCACGAAGAGAATCGACCTCCCATATGGAGGTCCCATTTCCAGCACATCTGTGACCCCAGACCTCAACCGCAAGGGCTCCATCTGCAATGAACTCCAGAAATTCCTCTGTTACGTTCACCACATAATCCTAAAAAAAATAGGAACATTGACCGCAGAAAACACGATGTATGTTCTTGTATGGTAAAGAAGAAATAAATCAAATTCCCACTCAAACTAGATTGCAATTGTAGAGAAAAAATACAGCTAAAGCTGTATGGATAATTCCATGAATCAATTCATCTGCACCAACAGGCTGTACCATGCAGAATCCAGGAAATAGTGAACAGATTTCTATTTTATAACAATAGAATGTTTTCACAAATAATCAAAAACCAGTTTTTATAGTGGTGGATACAATATACAGCATTTTGTATTCAAACTTATACCTCAGAATGACAAAGTTGAACTTGAAATGATTGCTCTCTATCACCCCTCCTCCCCCATAAACTTTACAATTTACAAATTACAAAATTACTTATACTATCTTTTAAATTTTATTATTATAATATATATTATTATATTATAATAATAATATATTATTATAATTATATATTATTACATAGTAATGTGTAATTTCTTTCTGCTTATATGTTTTTCATTGGTTCTGTTGGCTTTAGCTAGAAGTGTTTGTGCATGTGTTTGACTCAGTGTTGAATCTGGCCAGACAGTACTAATTAATCCCTGCATTTATCTTGTCGAACAATCTGGAAGTGGTTTGCCACTGCCTTCTTCCTAGGATTGAGAAGGAGTGTGCGGTCTCAGTTGGTTTCATACTGAGGCAGGAAGGGAATGTCCTCTTGTTTTATAGCAGACTGCCTTTAACCTCTATACCAAATTAGCTCCCTTCACTAATTATTTTATATGAATTGCATACGTTTAAAACGAACTGCAAATTGAGAAAAGCTTTTTTGAACAGTAGATGTAAATCCAATCTATAAATTGGATTCATGTTTATCCTCTGATACCAACTGTTCAAACAAAAAACAACAGCTTCTTATTTCTCTTAAAACTTCCTTTTTCCACTGGTTTTCTCTGAAGTTTAAACGATCTTACAGTTAGTCCTCAACCTATGACCATTCAGCAACCATTCGAAATTATAATGGCACTCAGAGTTACAGCTATTCCAGTACCTTGTGGTCAATGAGATTGCGATACGGGTGCTTGGCAACCTGTTTCCATGACAACCAGTCACAATGCCCCACAATCATCACTTGCAATAGTCCCTGCTGGTTCCCCAGAAAGTCAATTGGAAAGCCATCAGGGAAGGTCAGAAATCTCTGGGTAAGTCTTCCCCACCTGTACATCCTCCCCCACCTATCTGTGCTTGTGCTGCACTCATTCATCCTTGCGCACCCTCCCTGACCTGCGCCTCCCTTGCCTCACCTAACAACCATGGGATTCAGTTAATGATGGCAACCAGGATTGCAGAGATTGCTGTTGCTAAGCAACGTGGGCATGCTTTACCTAATCTTATTGCTTAATAATGGAAATTCTAGTCCAAAACGCTGTTGTAAGTCAAGAACTATCTGTAGGAATTCCTACCAGAAACAGGATACACAATATCTATCTTTAATATATGTAATACAGTAGCTTATAGTTTATAGTAGTTTAATAAAATCAACAATTGATTAAATTTCTAAATGCCTGCCTAGGGAAACACATAGAATCAATTATAATACAGACAGCCCCAAAAGTGTATTACTAACTTCAAATAGGCAGGAAAATGAGCTATTCTCCGATATAATTTCTTTTTGCATAGACTTCGCTTAAAAGTAGCGAAGAGCACCCTCCATCTTAAAAACAAGTACATATGTTTTAAAGCAGTCCTCATTGTGTGTACTTGTTTTTGAAAAACTACTCTTAGTTTGATGTAGACAATTAAATGAACTGGGCTTGCAAATAGATACAAAATAATTTGCATTCTTCATTTTTTTCGTATGAATACATATCGAGGTTTTTGCATTTACAAAAATGAACTAACTCAAATCTTTACCCTACAGTGTATATCAATACACAAATCAAAAACATGATCATGATGGTCTCAGGAGAAACAAATAATTACCCTACAATGAGAGAAAGTCACTGTAAATTGGACATCTTTGCCCAGAGGTGAAGGCACATCTGGATCTACAACTGGTGCTGCAACGGTTGGTTCACACTGATCCCAGAAGGTATATTGGCAAAAGACAAAGTTTGAAAGATTCAGTGGTAGTCCTGTTGCTTCTTTGATTTTTACCTGGACAATTAGGAAACATAAATTCAATAAACTAAAATATTTATCTTTCTAAACAAATATTTAGTTACAAAAATGTGTCTCCTATGGGAAAAATTGTATCTCTTAATTAGCATAGTGCTACAGTTTTGATTCCAAAGGTTCTTCTGGTACCTCCGAAGGTACTTATAGCATATCAGGATTCAGACATGGCCCTTCTCCACAAATTATTAAAACACTTATTTATTTTCCTGAAACCATGCAGCTTCCTTCCCATGCTGCCACCTGAAGCTTTTTTGAAGGAGCTGCAGAAAATTGCTATGTTTTGTGCTCCAAAACACTTTTGGAAACTGAATCCAAATTGTTGCATGAATCTGAGATAGAGAAAAACAGAGATGGCAAGGGACATACGGTATGTGAAAGGGTCAACTGACTACATATCAATTAAAAAATGACCCCTAAAGCAAATAAACTCCTTACATCTATCAAATTGGGGTTTGGGGTTGTTGTTTTTTACTCACAGAACAGCAGCTCTTTCTAAAACTGACCATGCAAGTGTTGGCTGAAATATGAATACATCTCCAAGAAAAAGAAATCAAAATTCTTGTAAGAACAGGATTAGGAATTATTTCCAATCAAGGAGCTGAACTTGAGTTCACCCTAGAGGCTGCATACCAGCAGAAGGTAAGGCAGCCATGAATATTCTCCCTGTTAACACATGCATGTTCACTCACAAACACATCTTTCCAGCCCTACTTTCTCTATTCGCTCAGACAAAGCAGGGAATTTTTTCCCTGCCCAGTTCTGAGATGGATTTCCTTTTTCAGTTCAGGGCCAAAGAAACTGACTTATTTTTTAACCCTTTCTAAATGGTGGCAGAGAAAAAAATAATTTTGTCCCCATCACACCCAAAGAAGATTGAGTTTTGCCTTTATTTCAGTGCTATGGTCAGGGGCAGGGCCTAAGGAATGATGCATCTTGGACATGAATCTCTCCTCCACTCAAAGCTTCATTTTGTCTCTGGTCTTCAGCACAGAATACAACCAATCAGTACAGAATACAATATGAAAACCTCTTTATTTTCATATAACTGACAGTTAACTGAACATAGCTAGAATATAGATTTAACCCTAGAAAATGTAACTGTGGAAGACTAGTACTTTCTAGAGCATAAATACGGAAGGATACACCCTGTCTTTGGGAAGCAAGCGTTCCAAGAGAAAGGAAAGCACACATAAAGCTTGCTTCCAAGGTTCCGCTCCACCTATTTCCTGTAGGGTTGGAATCCTTTCTGTGTCCTTTCTGTGTTGCTGTACATTATAAGTAATCATGAAAATTTTAAATTGAAGTTGCTCCTTCAAGATTGGCCTATCTTGGAATCAGACCAGGATTAATAGCCACTTGATCTTGCTGGAATTAAACCTCCATTTGTTTCTTCCTACCCAGTCCCACACAAACCCTAGCTACTACCTCAAGACTTTTGACACTATCAGCTGCTAAGCCTAGGTGGTACCTATCTGGTAACATCAGCATATAAATGATATACAGCTCTGAACTGCCTGACAACCTTTCCTAGTGGCTTCATGTATCACAGGTGTTTTAATATTATCAATCAAGCGAAGCTCTAAATATTGACAACAGAAACAATTTCCTATTGCAGTATTCTAAGCTGTGTAATTACCAAAGTATTTTTTTTAAAAAAAAATATCTACCCCTAAAAAACATCTGAACATAGATGACGCAGCCCTTACTCTGCATGTGAATTTTTTTGGTCTGTGAATAATTTCTCCATTATTATCCATGATTTCTAAGCTTCCACTTTCACTGGAGTTTTCAGAAGAATCGTCTCCTTCCATAACACGTTCTGGTACAGCACCAGTGACACGCATCACTTCAACATGCAGACGGCCTACCACCTGTATTACAAAAACATGTTAAAAACATCTAATTATCAATAGTGCAAATGAGATACACATATATTTTATATATATAATTTATATTTCATACAACTGTATCTTCAGCAACTAAATAAAGAAAAAATACATATATAATATTTTCAAGTTTGACATACTAGTTTTCTTAAACAACATTGATAATAAAAAATACTACAAAGATTTATATGTATGGGAATGATCCTGGGATCTTCACAGTATGTAACTGTGCATCTAATTATTAATTTACATATTCTAAAAGAAATAATAATTTTGAAAATCCTTTGGTATAGATACCATTCTTTCATTGATATGACCTTTAAATTAAACACACTAGAACTCTGTGTGGAAAAACTATTTGTCAGTATATGAAATTTAGTTGATCTCCATATGTCCCACAGATGTCCTGTTTATTTGTGGACATCAACTGATGATTTTTCTTTTCCTCAGGCTTTCACTCCACAGATCAACAATGTAGTATGTCTGGCATTTTTTCCTTTAAGCCACATCCTTTGCCTTTTCCAACCCTTTGCTAATAGAGACTGCAAACAGCATCACCAACAAATAAACAAAGAGAAAAACACGAACACAGCAGATGGCAATTCCAACTGTGCTATACATAATATGAGCCATTATTTGCAATTCATTCATTCAGTCAAGGCAGTTATTCACAGGATGTATATGGCTGCCTATCTCATATAATGATTCTGAGTGGCTTACAACAATCAGTAAAACAAAGACACAAACCAGAAGTACCCTTTTCCCTAGACACCAGACCAAACAAACCTCCCAGCAAAAACCCCATCCTTGCTCAATATTTGGGGGAAGAGCCAAGTCTTCAAGGTCCCCCAGAAAGCTGAAAGGGCAGGAATGTACATGTATAACAAAGATACTCCTTTCACAAAAAAAGTGCAATATTTATTATGGATTAAGCCTTACCTCTCCTTGTTGGCTAATTATTGGTACCGCATACTGAAGCTTAACATCACAGAAAAGGCACTCCAAAAAGACATTTGCTACGCCAATTAAATTGTGATTTTCTTGGGCTTCATAAAAAGGGTCACCTCTTTTTCCCGTGAGTCTCTTCATCTATTTTTTTTTTTAAAAAAGAAGATAGGAATTTCAAAGGCATGAAGGGTTTACCAGAATGATTCAATATGGAAATGGCAAGCTATATTTTGGAATATATATCATTTATCGTAAATAATCACAGTATTATTTTCATTTTTATTATTATTAATTGTAATAATTATATTACGTATCACAGCAAAAATATACATATTATTTGCACCAAAAAGTTATATCAGTTAACAAAAACATTTTAAGGACCAACAGTTTATCTTTAAAACAGAAATAATAAAAACTTCAAACAATCTCTATTCTCTCCCAAATACAGGACACAATATATTAATTAGGATCATTTTAACTGTCAGGATAGAAATGTAAATGTAGTAATAAAGCATAATAATAATCCTTATTTCTTATCGTTAGGCAGGCAATATATCTTACAATGCTCAACAAAAATCAGTGAAAGGAACTATATTTCAGAGTACTAGCCATTTAATATGGGTAGCATAATGAACCAGACCAGTGATGACGAACTTTTTAACCACGGCATGTTAAAAATTTGAAAAATGTCTAATTTGAGTCTGTTGACATGTCACCCGCCCCACAAAAAGGAGAAAAAATTCTCTCTCCTCATGCACCATTTAGGCCACCCTGAACAGCGGCACTGAGCAGCAGCACAGAATCTGGGCCTGAAGTTAAGGCCTGGATCTTGACTTCAGCTGTAGTGCCACCACTCCCATTCGAAAAGGCACCTCATGCAATTCCACAAGGCATATGAATTTGGGGGAATGATATGATTGCTCCCCAGGATCAGCTGCATGCCATCCTAGCAGTCCCCAGGATCTGCTGCATGTCCCTTTGCAGGAAGTATTCTTTCTCTTTATGGTGAGAGACACCTGGGCCTATCTGAGGGTGCCCAGGTTGCATATGGCCTTTGTTCTTGAAGAAACTTCAGAGGATGCTCTTCTGCAGCCTTGGCAACCTCTGAAAACCATCTGAAAGGATGCCCCATTCTTGTGCAACTTCCAGAGTTACACAAAACCATATTTCACTCTCATGTATCTACCACAGCTTCCGAAAATCATGAGAATGTTCTGTGCTTTTGAAATTAGTTGTTGTTGGGCATCACATCACCCAAAACTTTGTGGTGTATGCCACCTTTGATGCGCATGTCATAGATTTGCCATCACTGGTTTAGAATAAACTAACATAAAAATGAATTAGGCAATGGAGTCCACACAGGGCTTTATGCAAGCATACTTTTATAAATCTGATATTGGAAAAATGGTTAAATACCTCCTGAGAGCTCTCTTTCCATTCTTGATATAACTCTCTCATATCGATTAATTTGTTTTCTAGCTTTTCAATGGTCCACACCTGAGTGCTTTTTCCTTTTCTTTTTACCTGAATAGCTGGTTCACTGACAATTGCTCCTCTCTGAATAACAAAACACAACCATTTTATTTATAGTATTTATTCAATGTGTGTACTGCCAAAATCTGCCAAGGTATTCTGGTGATGTAAAATCATGAATCAACATCCTCAATAAGAAAATAATACATTACTATTGTAATTAATGTTGATCAAATTGTTTATATTTAATAATATAACATTACCATAATAGCAAAACATTTAACAATAATGTAACATTAATAGTAATACTTAAAATTAATTTATTAAAACATGAAAGTTCAGTGGTAAAATGTGTTTTAAAAATATGTATTTGTTTCTCAGATGTCAATATACATTTCTTTCTCTTTTTATTTTTGGAGAAATATATTTGAAAAATCTGTTTCCAAAGTTAAGCACATGGAATTACTGTAGTTAAATGTAGTTTTAAGATTTCATGCATGAATGCAAATCTCCTTTACTGAATGTATTGCAATCAACAAAGAATCTTTTATTTTGGCATAATCTTTCATAGTTACATCCACTTCACTGAATACATCACAGTCAGCTATTTGTTAGGGGAGCTGAACATGCAGGCAAAATACAGCACAGTTTTCTAACAGTTTGTATGACCCTACCAGAATATGCCTGCATGTGAAAAGTGGCATGCAAAATGAGAGCTTTTATCTCATTTTAAGTTAAGATTCTATGTACTGAGTATTCCAGACACGTTCATTAATGGAAGTGATCTGTGCTCTCACCATATATACAAGACTTCATCTTATCAAATTTGAACTAATGTGAACTAATAATGATCACCAACAAGTTCTTAGTTTAATTTTTTGGAACTGATTACCTGTGGATACTTTAGTACTTCAGTATAGTACATGTGTGAATCTCTATTTACATTGATATGTACAGGTTACAGAGACAAAAATAAAAGAAGCTGCTTATTCTGGGTGTATAACTATTCTCATTCTATCTACTTCATGCACAAAAATCAGCGAATTTTATCTTGAATGCAAAATGATTGTGGACTTTTTGACTTTTTATATTAAACTATTTTATATAAAATAGTAAAAAAAATTACCTTTCTGTTGGCATTCAAGTTAGCAGCAGGGATCTGAAGTGTGACTTGATAATCTGTTAGCTTGCTCATTTCTTCAGCTAAAAAATTCGCTTCCCTTACTAATGCATTGGCTTTAACTATTTGTTCTCTCAGTTTTGCTAAGCTTTGTCGAAATAATTCATCTCTACAAGGGAAACACGACATAAATATATCAAAAAATGTAATTTAGAAACCCAATTTCTAAATACTATTTAAAATACTATTGAGGAGACTATTACATTATTTTTAATAAATTCTCAATGAAAAAGCATGAATTTAGCCACCAGCTGTAGAGTTCTGATGGAAATTAGAATAATCATGCAGCTGAAAAGCATAATAGTACTAACATTAATATATGTAGAATTTATAATTAAAAATTCAAACAAATTGCATAAATTAATCCATCCTTACAGATGTTTTAAGAGACATTATCTGTAACTAAGTTTTCCTGGGAGCTGGAATCTAGATTATTTGATTTATGGAATCAAACTTAAACTATGTAATATTGCCTATAGAGGCTGTATTTTATTATGTTACGAATAACACATGAACAAAGGTTCAAAGCAAACTAAAGCCGTCTGATAAAATCAAGAGCATTTTCTATTTTTAAACAAATATTTAATCTGTTTTTATTCAATGATTTCAAACAAAAAAAGTCTCTCCAGGTTACCCCATAAACCAGGATAAAATATTTTAAATGTTAGTATGTAATACTAATACAATTGAAAAAGTCCAGAAACATTTCACAAGAAGAGTTCTCCGCTCCTCTACTCATTGCAGAATACCTTATGCCATCAGACTTGAAACTCTAGACCTAGAACACCTAGAACTAGGCCGCCTCCAGTCCAATCTAAATATAGCATATGAAATCATACATTGCAATGTCCTACCTGCAAATGAATACTTCAGCTTTAATCATAACAATACAAGAGCACACAATAGATACAAACTCAAGGTTAACCGCACCAAACTTGATTGCAGGAAATACGACTTCAGCAACAGAGTGGTCAATGTTTGGAATACTCTACCTGACTCTGTGGTTTCTTCCCCAAACCCCCAAAACTTTAACCTTAGACTGTCTACTATTGACCTCACTCCCTTTCTAATAGGCCTGTAGGGGGCGTGCATAAGCGCACCAATCGTGCCTATCGTCCCTGTCCTATTGTTTTTTTATTTTTCTTATAAGTATCTATCTCATGTATTCAAAACTATATTTATTCTTATACCTGTATCTTGTAAGTGATTGACAAATCAAATAAATACTAAATACTAAATATACTAAAAAATGTAATAGCCACAAGATACAGTAGACCTATCCCAAAAGTGCTTTAAAAAGACAACTGGACTTTTTCTCGAAGATGTTTCACTTCTCAACCAAGAAGCTTTTTCAGTTTCAAGAAACATCAAGGAAGTTCAGTTGCCATTTTTAAAGCAGTTTTGGGACAACCATGACCTAAATGATTGAAAACCCGCGTAGACGAACCATAGGCCTAACTTAGCACCACTTGCACAGCTACCATTCAAAGGTACGATGACTCTGAACAAGAGGACTTTATAAACGTTCCTCACAGTTGCAGCCATCACAGCAGGATTGTGATTCAGGCACTTGGCAGCCGGCTCGCAATTATGATTGCAGCATCCTGTGATCATTGCCATTCGTGACCTTCGCTGACAGCTTTCGATAAGCGAAGTCAATGGGGAAGCTGGCAGGAGGTTGCAAATGGTGACTACATGACTACAGGATGCTGCAATTCAATGGGATTTGCCTAATGACAGCAAAAGGAACTGGTGCAACTGCTGTTGTAAATCAATGCAGTCAGGTGACATCACATTTTATGACCATGTGGCTTAGTGGCAGAATGGCTGATCCCAATTACCATTATTAAACAAGGACTGTTAGAATGAATCAAGGCAGGTACATCTCTTAGTAAACTGGATTACACAATATTTAAAGAGGAAATCGTGCAAAAAAAAAACCAACAACAACCCAGTTCAATGCACTGAAGGCCTCACAGACACAAAATATGAAAAACTTAATTGCCTCAGCTTTGAGCAACAAATTAAGTAGATAACCCTTCACATCACTATTGATTCAAAATGATTTCAAGATTTTCTTTTGTCCTCCAGCACAATCTCTCGGTTACTTAAATACCAATATTCTTACCTCTCTTCTGACCAGAAGTTTATTTTCTGCTGAGCAGTCTGGGCAGCATCTGAAAGGCTGCCACCACACTGCTGATAATGCCTTTCTGGAGAAAGCTGTTGCCTGAGCTGTTCCAGCTCCCGCTCATACATTATCCGCTGCTCTTCCAAAGCACTACGTTTTTCTTCCAAATATTGTTTCTCCAACACCTGGACCACATTTTGCAATGGATCTAGACAGAAAGGAGTCCACGCCATTTTAGGACTTATTTCCAGTGGGAATGCTCAATATAACATTATCACTTTATGAAAATCCTCCTAGGCTTAACAACCTTGTGCACTGACCTGATTAAAATACTATCCCAATATGCGTTCTGCATAGATTGGCTCTATTACTTCTTAACATGGAACATTTTCACATATTCTTATAGCTACAATGTTTTAAGGTGGAATAAAGGACATGACCCCCCCCCCCCCCCAAAAAAAGAAGTATATATTCTAGAAAAAAAGCACAAAGAAAGGATAAACCCCATAAAACTTTCAGGAAACATACTGTATTTAGGTTCCATCTATCAGAAAAATAACCTTGGGAAAAAATACTTCAAGTTTTCTATTTGAACATCTATTTACAGAAAATCACTACAATTATGCATTGTATTGATAAAGAAAAAAATGTATCCTTTTTGTTATATATCAAGACAACCCAGAAACCTGTCTATCCCTGTTTGATTTCAGCATCCCTGAACACCATTTTCTCACCATTGCTGTTTAGCATTTTCATTATAACTTCCATTTGTGCAAATTCATAGTTATAGTCTGGTTCTGAAGAAGCTTCACTGGCTGCATCTAAATCCTGTTCTGCTTCATGTTCTTTTTCTTTTTCAGAGTCTTTAAAACAATCTCGACGCTTTCTCTTAGGAAGATTAATTCTATATGAAAAATAAAAAGGTATAAAATTACCAATATGGTTTTAAAATAAACTTGTATGAAGGAACTGGGGACAGCAGGAACAGACATACTTGCTCCAAAACACAGGAAGCAAAACATGTGATTATAGTCCTTGATCATCCTATGAAATGTGAATACAAAAGTTTACTGCTGGCTGCCATCAAACCCTTGGAACGTCACTAAACGGTTGCTATGGAGGATCATTATGGAAGATAACCTTCAACTAGCAGGAAGCCAAGATGTATTATGTTTGAGATTTTTAGATCATGGATAATTACTCCCGCCAAGGAGGTACTCTGGGAGTAGCCTGGGAATAACAGAACAATTTATAGTTTCTTGTGAGTGAAGGATCCAGTTTGGAGTTGCTACCATAGAGATACTTGTATAAAGCAACAGCGCCTAGGTTTTTTTGTGGGGATAATGACCATATTTAATTTTTGAAAGGGAGAAATTGAGTCAAACATTCTAAAAACTACTGTTTTTGGGTCAGTCTTTCCATTACCAATGGCAAATATGATAAAATGTGATTTTTGGTTTTTTTAAAGAATAAAACAATTTTATATTATGAAAAATGATATTTGTTGCCCTTTACTATCAAGATTGTTTGTGATGAATATTGCTAAATATTAAAAGCTGATGCAAGTGATAACCAATCTAACTGAATTTAGATTAAATTCATTTCAAATTCTCTTCTATACAGTTGTCAGAGTTATGAAATTGCTTAAAAATATCAAGTGGGCTGAATAAAATCCTTGAAATAGTTGCTGGAGCCTGTATGCCACTATTCCAAACTGAGAAAAACTATTTCTGAACTTTCAAATATAGTAACTTTTAAAGTAATGCTATTTCGAATTATCCTTTGCAAGCAAAATCATTCATTTGTATATTATCTATATAAATAAGATAAACTAAGTAAAATCTTGACCTTGACTCTTGGTGGTTTCACGGACAAGTCCATGTTATTTTTCTTCAAATATGTGCTTTGCTGCTATGTTTTTCAGGGATGCTTTTTTTGACTTCAAAGTCTGGCCTTTGGTATTCCTAGCGGTCCCTCATCAGTGCAAAGTACAATCCAGTTCACATCATGCTTAACTTTATGACATCAGAAAAGGGTTGGCCAGGTATTGCTGCCTAGTATTACAATGGAACTACTATGGAACATTAAAAACAAATACCTAAAAAAGTGGTTGTTTCCCCATAAGATTCTATCTCCGTGCCACAGCTGAGTCACAGAACATACCAGTGTACCATTTACGCATGATCTGAAAAATATAAGACATTTATAAGACTAAAATCACTCTTCGTAGTCAAGTTCTCACACTCTATTGTGGATATTACTTCAGCAAAGTCCAGTCTACCAGGGAATTATTCTAGTCTGTAAGATCAGTCAGGATGAGTAAGCACTAGACATTTGCTACCTCTTTGTATGGAGAAACAGAAAACCTAGTCATGTCTCTTCCCTCTTTTGTCCTTTAGTGAAAGAGTGGATAATCACTACCTTTTTGGCTGTGAATTTGCCCTCATTCCCCAACAATCTGGAAAGAGTTCCAAATGTCCCCTTAGACAGGCTATATTTAGTAAGTGCTGGATTGACCAGCCGTTTCAAATCGCTGCTGGGTCACTGTGATACTAAACTAAATTGATGCAGCTCACTGCTTGATAGGCTAAATACAAATATGTGGCCATTAAGTGTAATGGAATACAGAAGTGACAAATCTCACTGCTCTAGTGTCTTTGTAGGCTGCATGACTTCATCCAAGTGATTTGATTTGATGCTAGCTAGAGAAATATAGCATAGTTTAAATGGCATGTGAATAATTACACTCAACCCAGCAAGCTGTTGTAGCATGTATGGTGGAAGAAAAGAGAAAACTAAAAAGCTGAAAATCAGAAAACTGCTTAGCTCATCTAGTGAGCCACACATGGGGTGGAAATGAGTGGGCAAGGAGAACTTGCGTAGACTTTCTAGAAAATATCTTAACCAGAACAGCCCTGAACCTCAATATCTTTGCTCTTCTGGAAAGTGTATAGAAGGCTCCTTCTAAGCCAACCCAAAGTGAAGGTTGCAATGGAGTGGAGGTAGGGATTTGTGCATGTGCTTGTAGGGCAGAATTAGTGTGTGGATGTATAAACAAACAAGGGCAGTCCTGAAGAGAAAAATGATTGACTCTTGCACATACATGACTGGGTGGAAGATATAAACTATGGCCTTACACACCCGATAACAAAATCATAGGAGACTTCTCCATTAGACCATCCACCTTCCCATTGAAACGAGACCTATAAAGTTGTGGGAAGCTCACACTGCAGATGCTCCATCTAAATCTGATTGTTGATGGCTGATTATATGAAGTTCTATTCAGGTCTTATAATTACAACTAGAATTATTTGATGATGAGCAGCCCACATCAAAGGCTACCATTTTATCCCTTACTAATTTTTACTACTTATATCTTTCTGTATATTACAATATTTTGCGAACTAATGAGACAGAATTTTTTATAGCTTGTATATTCCAGTTTTGGGAACATATTATTAATAGGTTACCCATTTTTTTTAACTTAATACAAACATGAATGAAATAAAAATAGTAACTCTGTATTCAGTGTTAAAATCATCAAGGATTTAATTAAGACTTCAATTCTTCGTGACAAAAACATATTTGCTGCAGTACATCCCTGCTGTAAAAAAAAATGGGGAAATAGCCAATGCAGTGCATGTATTTAAGTAACTGGGTCACAGGCTGTTTATCACAAGCCATCTGCAGAAACCTAGTTTAAATCTCCTTAATGAGACATTTACTTAAATCACTTCAAAAGTAACATAAATTATTCTAATATGCAGTTATTCTGTGAAAGTAATGTTTATTTCCTATATAAGCCAAAAGAAGCAAAATATACCTTTTATTATCAGTTTGGAATATAATTTAAAAGAAGTAGCTTTTGTATAACATTCCACTCTGCTCATAAACAGAGGCACATAAACCAGGAAAATAATTAATTTTCCATCTCAATTTTCTCAAGCAGATGATATTTAGGCATAATTTCTTTGTTTTGTGGCTGACAATATAAATAATCCTCAGTACTTCAACTGTAAAAAAAAATCTTCATTTTAAATTCATTTTCCAGTCATTAAGAACTTAATTGCTTTTTCCACAAGAATCAACAATGAACTGACTCAACTGATTGCCATTGTAACTCTGTAACGTAGTTTGTACTTATTTAGAAATCTTGGATGAAACACAAATTAAATAAAGTTTATTTATCTATACATTTTTTCCAGTGACATGCATCTTTATTGTTGCCAGTCAAAATGACTAATTCTTCACAATGCAACTATATCATAACACTGAATTCCATCTGTTTGGAATATTTTTGTTGTTAAGCCTTGAACTTTCATGGTAACACACTCAGGTCTTACACAAAACCATAGTGAAACTAATTTCTATATATTCACATGTTTCTAAACAGCTGGCCTCCCCCAATTAAAGAGTAAGAATATTTGTGTAAAATCTCTCTAAAGCAATTATACTAACTAAAATCTTACTGAAAAATACTTTCCTGCTTTGTTTTTGGCTTTAAAAAGAGTCAAAAATGTAACCAATGATAAATGTGTACGTGAACACAAATCAGCACTTAATCCCAAAATTACCGATACTAATATCTGCATGATGTGAAATAAGGAGGGCTCTTAACCTCAAAACAACTTGGAACCATTAGGCACAAACTTTGTGAAATGTATGCATGCTGTCAAGTTTTTCTGAGGGAAGAAGTCAGGAACAGAAATTAGTACTAGCTAAGATAAATTATAACTTTCAAAGATTAGGCAAGTTTACAGAGTCTTCGTCTCTTTATTAATGCAAGGTCATTTTGTTTAAATTACAAAGGCTCCCAATTTTACAGATGCCCTTACCTTGCATTTTCTTTTGGTGAGAGAGAAACTTCTCCATCTAGTGCAATGTCTATCTCACAATGTTCTGGTTGAATTCCTATCCCAAATAGCTGTATGTCCTGGGAGGTATCCGCACCAACCCTAGTGTGGTCCTGATTAAGACAAATAAAGTGACAATAAAATCTGCTGCTTCTATCATCCTAAATAAAGATTTATAAATTACAATGTATGTGCAATCTAATACAAACTCAAAATGTTTATATTTACTGTAAAATGTGAAATGAGTGATATTACATCTTTCTACAAACACCTTTAATCTTCTCTATTTAGTTTGTCCATGCCTCATGTACACTGAGAGGCCATATGTGTCAGAAAGAGCTATTTTGAAATCTTTCACATGAGGAAGCTTCATATGCTAGCCTGTCACAAGGGTTTCATTAAACACTGACTAGTGTGTGGCTAGATGACTTTCAAAATATAGGTAGTCCTTGATTTATAACTATTTGTTTAGTGACTGTTCCAAGTAACAATTGCATCAAAAAAGTGACTTATGACTATTTTTCACATTTACCACCTCTGCAGCATCCCCACAGTCATGTAACCAAAATTTGGATGCTTGCAACCAGTTCATATTTATGCTGGTGGCAGTGCCCCGGGGTCATACAATCACTTCTGACAAGCAAAGTCAATGGGGAAGTCAGGTTCACTTAACAACCATTTACTAACTTAACAATTGCAGTGGCAACTGTGGCAAGAAGGATCGTAAAATAGAATAAAACTCTCTTTAAAAATGTCTTGCTTAGCAACATAAATTTGGGCTCAATTATGGTCTTAAGTCAAGGAACACTTGTAAAAGATTTACTGGGTGCAGTAGACATAGTAATCTTCCGTTTTTTTTCTTCCAAATCCTGTTTGACAAATTTCAATAAAAGGAAACTTTAAAGAACTTGTAAGTATGGATTATTATTGTTTTTTACCTTTAAATAATAAAGCAACAATTCATTGAGTGCAGGATCTGCATTTAAATTCACCAGATAACACTTATCTTCTCCCATCTTGATGCCCGAAGATTCAAGAGAAATGCCCATGCTCTCTAATTGCTTTTGTCTTTCCTGTAAAATTCATAGGAGGTTTGAAGTAATAGCTGTTAATTATCTTCACAACAATGAAATTAAATATTATAAACTGTGTCCCAAAAAAATCACAAGTGGAAGAAATATACATGCTAATACTTCTCTATACTTATGCTACAGTTTATGCCATACGGTGTTGGGTATTGAGTAAGATACTGTATTAATTCGCCATTAGACCAGAACAATTTTTGGTATAGTATTCAATTATCACACACACACACACACACACACAATTTCGCTATGAGCAGAATCACTGTTCTTCAAAGTCAGTAATAGAGAAGGAAAGTAAATGATGCTCAGAAACTAAAAATGCTCAGATTTCCTTGAAGAACTCAGGCCCACAGATACTAATTTAATACAATGTAGAATAAACAGTTGCATTTTTCTGTTATAATGAGAAATACTTGCCTTCAAAATGCTGTGACTACCTACAGCAGGGGTGTCAAACTCAAGGCCCACAGGGTGCTTAAATCTGGCCCACGGGGCTGGCCTGGAAACATCAAAGGAACGGCCCGTGGTGCCTCTGCCAGCCAAAACGGGTTGCAGGGGCGCAGGGGCCGTTTTCAGCCTCCATGGCCTCTTGCAGCACTGTCGGCCAAAAATGGACCTCGTGGAGGCCTTGCAAGGCTCTCGCGTGGCCTGTTTTTGTCCTCCCCGGCCTCCATCAGCACTCAGCTGGCCAAAAACGGATTAAGGTTAGGGTTATGGCAGGGTGCTGCAGGAGGCATCTGTCCCGTCTCCCCCCTGCCCCCCCCCATCGGCCCACGGAGAACTACAATGCTCACCTGGCTCTCGAAGAAATGCAGTTTGACACCCCTGACCTACAGCATATATAAGACTCAAAGCCTCTTCAACCCCAGCACTGTGTATTGGCTCTATAACATTATTACAAAAATTAAAAATATGTTGCACCTGGAACATGTTTAGGAATACAAATTTAGTCCATCTCAATTAAGTACTAAATGTATAAATACCTGCGCAATTTCTTCAGTTTTTCTTAATTTCTCTTCCCAGGTAATGGTGAGTTCTTTTATTAGTTTTTCAGATTCCTCCAATTTTTCCTTTAATTCTGGTGCTTTCATAGACTTTAATATTCAAAATACACCTGTTAACAGCTTTCTCAAAATTCCATAGTGGTTTATACAAAATATTTTCATATCAAAAATTATAATTAAATAAATTGGAAAAAAAATGGGGGACAGATCAAATCACTCTCTTGGGGTATATTTATAAACTGCAGACATTACTCTTTGTTCTCCTTTATAGAATCATAGAATGAAAACTGAGTTATATTTCTCTCTGTCCTTTCCATCAGAACCTCAAAACAGCAACCTTTAACAAAACCTTTTTCTGATACAAAGTTTACAGAAAACCCCAAATAATTAATCTTATCTAAATGAATTTCAGAATGCAAATGCATTTTGTCCCTTTCTCTTATTTCCATTTTACTCATTTTATAAATATCAATGAATAAAAAAAAACTTTATCTGCTTTACCTCTGCCTGAGAAAGTTGCTCTTTCAGCTTCTCTACTTCTTCCCGTAGTTCTCGGATAACCCTAGCATTGGGATCCTCATTCACTATAGCATGATTTACTATCCTTTTAGCTCTATCTGCATATCTCAATGTAGATAATGTTTCTTCATAATTATCAGCTGCTGGACTGATTGTAGCTATCATGGCTGTTTGGCTATTTCCTCCCAAGTTGTCCTAAAACGTTTATTAGGGAATAGATAAAATGTGTAAAAAAATATTCTTATGTCTGAAATATATTATTTCTTCTTAACAGATACCATTTTAAAATCTATTTCAATTGTAATTGATCTGCTCACCCGTAGACATTTTTAACATTCAGCATTAAAAATGACTATGTAAAAATTAGAACGACAAATTTTGTTGCAAATGTCATAAAGGAAAGACACAAACCCCCAGAAGAGATCTTATTGCAGTATTGCTCTTTTTTACTAAACATGCTACATTTTGTGCAAGGTTATTTGAGGGCAATAAATGTGCAAGGTTATTTGAGGGCAATAAATGATATATTCATTTTGAAATAGGAGTAGAATATGGTTGTTCTATTCCTATATTTTACCTTGAGAAGCCAAGTGAGTACAGAATCTCGGTAAGGCACAAATTTATTTTTCCCCTTTCCTGCTGCTTGGTCTGCAAGTGATGAAATAACCAAACCTAGTGTTGAAAGGGACCTATGAAAATAACAAATATGATCAGTTTGAACATGTGACCTTCGATTCAGAAAGATGGATACAATTAACAATGCCTTATTTTTTAAAAAAGCAGGCTGTACAATATGTAATAAACTTTTTGAAGAGGAACAGGAATCTGTAGAAGATGACATTATACATGCATGCAAGTTTAAAACTTCTTTATAACAAAAATAATCATCCAAATGAATCTATTTTAGGATCAATTATTTAAAGACTTTAAATGTAGTAATGTTATGAATTATTGACAAACATGATTAGTTTTGATGTAGTGTGATGTCCAATACTGTTTATTTGTAATTTAAAATTGCTTCATATAGCATGCTTACAGTAAGAAAAAAATCCTGTGTAGTATAACAACATCAGTCACATTAACAAAATTCACATTTTGTTCTCCTTTTTTGCCCAACTAAAACTTTGTTATATGTAATGTAAAGATAAACAACACTAATACATTCCTGCACACATAAGCGTGTCATAGAACAGAGGAAAGGACACATCATACATTGGAATGCATATCCTTTCAAATACATATGGAAAGCATTAGTATTTGTGATTCTTGAACTAGTTCTGACTTTTTGAGGGAGGGAATTGGAACAATGACAGAGAATTAAAATTACAAGGTATCTTAGGATATTGTGAGAGATACTACACAATTAGCAAATCCCTGGGTCTAGAATGCCATCCACCTGAGAATCCTTAATGGAGAGAATTAAGAAATGGGGTAAGCAGTGATCTGTCCAAGTCCCCAGATTGTATCAAAATGCTTAGAACAGTATTAGTGGATGTTCAAGTCCAAACCCCTTAAAGTTGCTAAGGTTGAGAAACATGGCTCTAGAATGCCACTGAGAGAAGATGAAGAATAGATGAAGAATGAATCTGACCAAGCATTGATAAGAACCTTTCTTAAGGCTTACTTTGTGAGCATATGGGTAGCAAAAAGTAAATATTGTTCCACTCTTATCGTGTCCATAGAGAGCTAACAAGAGGCTCTGTTTAGAGTGACCCAAAGAAAGTGAGGGATCCTGGAAGTGTGCCTTCTACATCATATTGCCTGCCTATAGACATCATTTCCCCTGTGATCTGGATGGTCCTCTCTTTCCCTGTGGATCTTTTGCAAAGTCTTAAGACCTAGTTGTCTCCCCATGCCTTGGGCCAGGATGTTAATTAAACCTGGTTTTATGATTTAAATCTGAGGAGAAGGGGATGAGTCAGATCTCAATGTCATTGAATTGCGTCAATTAAAGTTATTTATTTTTGTTGCTACTGCTGTTAAATTAATATATTTGATCCAATCTGGGTCGGTCACCGGGACCATAGGTTCTGTCTTCCAGGCTTTTGGACTTATCCTCAGGGAACTTCTCTCTATCAGAGTCTCTCTAGCACACTCTGCTAGAGAGAAGTTCCCTAAAGGTGGGCTTCAGCATGGGTCTGATAGCTCGGAAGACAAAACCTCTGGTCCCGTTGACCGACCCAGATTGGATCCTGCAACATTATTCTGGGACACCTTCATTTTCACCTATGTTCACCTTCATTTGTATTATATTTTAGATGGGAATCAATATTCATATAAAACCATATGGAAAATGTCTCTGTTCCTCAAAATATTAGGCTCAGAAATCAACTAATAAAATTGACTGAGGAGGGAAAATGAACTCACCACCCAGAGTGAGCAGGCATTACTCCTTTCCTCCTGGGATCTAATGCTTTGGGGCTGCCTAGGAAGGAAAGTTAAAACAGCCACAACCCCTCCTTTAATTGGGAGACTTCGTATATAAAGTGGATCAGATGAATCAGGCATGTGTGTGGGTGTGGAAAAAAAAGAAGTCAAGCCAGGAAGACAGCAGAGAAGTGGGGGGGAAAGCACTGAGGCAAGCAACTCAGCGGCAGTCCCCAGACAGGGAAACAAAACTGCCAATCCTGATGCCCCAAGACCTGCCGAGAGACAGAGGGGAAAGACGGGAGAAGGGAAAGTGGACCAGAATCTGCAAAAGGAACAGCTCAAAGTAAGCCCCACTAGGTGCAGCAGCCTGGCAGGAAGCTCCACAAATCAGCTCCAGAAAATAAGGACTCTGAGGGCTTGGGAATTGGGGGTGTGGAGAAAAAAACAGCACACGCTCTGCTATTCCCTGAAGATGGCCTCCAGAATGAGTCTACAGACTTGGAAGACGAAATCTTTGATCCCAGTGACCGACCCAGATTGGATCCTGGAGAGAAAACTATTTGTAAGTCTATAATGGAGCGGAAAGGATCTTCAAATGACTCTGTGACTAGAGCTGGGGAAAAGGGAAATATTTCAACAGGTAGGAAATGGTTAAGACAGAAAAATGCATTGCTACAAACATAGAGACAGCATGCAGAGATTTAAAAAAAAATAGTTGTAATAGTAAGAGGAAGTTGCTAAATTAAGATAGTTAGGAAAATAGAAACGAGCATAGAATTAGCATTAAGAGTAGAAGAAAGATATAATAGTTTAATTTGATGTAAAGCAGCTTTTGTCCGGGGGGGGGGGGGGGGGGGGAACAGAACCCAAACTTAAGTCTTTGTGCCAGTGATCTGTACCAGATTAAGAAAACCCTGACTGGAATCAATTTAAAACAGGAAAAAAAAATGTTTTGCCTGTCATACAGCATATAATCAGCCTGTGGTGTTAAAGAAAACTTGGTAATAGTCATCTTTAAAAGGGGACTGGAAAAATATGCAAGTATACTGAGGGCTATCATTTCTGAAACCTCAACATTACCTTCAGTTGAGAAATAGTAGTAGACCTCAAGTATCAGCAAGAGTGGGAGCAGAGCTAGAGAACAGCATACATTCACTTATTGCTTATGAGCCTCCCAAAGAAACTAAGTACTAAAAATAGCCTTAGGCCAGTGGTGGCTAACCTTTTTGGGCTCATGCCAATAATTGTGTGCATGCTCGCATGCGCACGCTCGTGTGCCATCAACCAGAAGGCAATGTGCACAACCCACACGCCCCCCGCGCATGTGCATGCACATGCAACCCACACGCGGCACATCTCTGCGCATGCTCACGTGATCTCCATGCCATGCATTTCTACGCATGCACGCACATGCCCCCACATGCGCCGCGCCCCCCGAACGTGCACACCAGATACCCGACAATCACCTGGCGGGCAGGTGGCGTGCGTGCATGTGCGGTAGGTCTGCTCTGGTAAAGGTCTCGCGTGCTGGCAGTAATGGCTCTGCATGCCACTTCTGGCACACATGCCATAGGTTCGCCACCATGGCCTTAGGCTAACCCATGAGGGTTATTATTATATCCTTAGAATTAAATGAATACTAAGATCTGCTGTAAACATTTGATAATTCAAATTCAATTACTGTGGCTGACCTGAAGTACTTTCAGGTTAGATTAAAGGATAATTATAAGAAAAGGGCTTTATAAAGACTTACTGTCTCATCTTGCAAAAAAAACCAAAAACCAATTGTCATAAAATCAAAATTCAAATCAAGATACACATAAGCCATTTAGAAACTGAAAGAGGCCTTTTGGCAATTGCTACACTTCACAATGCAGCATTCCAATCTTATGTAGTATAAAATTGCTTACCTGAAAGAAAAAAAAAATCCCATGGGCTCACTGGGGCTTACTTTTAAGTAATTATACACAGAACTACACTGTGGATACATATGCTTGATCAAATTACTGGAAAATGCCTGTAATAATGGCAGAAGCTGCAGGCCTGATTAAAAGCTTAATACTGATCAAAATGTTGGACAGTGCTGATTCAGATAAAATGCATCATCATAACGAACCCAGACAAGGAGGAGAGAGGCTTTCATACAAGACAGGGCTGAAGAAACAGAAAACATGATCTATGGCTATTTTCAAATTCTACAAGTCTAAATGTATGGTAACACTGCTTGAAAAAAAATGAATTAAGAGGAAATAGGCACGTGCATTCAAATATATAATAAAATAGGTCTGCTAAAAAGCATGTAAGAAATAATTATTTTATAAGCCATCCTTTGTTTCATTAAAAAAGACCACAGTGCAAATAGCTTTAGTGGAAGCAAATAAGATAGTTTTAAGGCAAATACGGAAGTTTCTGGATCAGAACTTTTTCTTTTGAAAAAAAATTACTTAGTTAAAACTTGTTTCTTTCATTTACTTGTTTCTGAAAAGTACATTAATTATGTGAAGCAGCCCTTCAGTTACGATTCTTCCCATTTATTTAATAGCTATACATTTTGAAAACATGACCCTCTACTCGGTTCATTATTTTTATATTTTGTAATTGTATTTTAAAACCCCACAGAAAGAATAGTTTGAAAAACTTCGTATTCATAAACCTAATTTCTCCTTGTTGCCAGGGGTGGGCTGCTACGGGTTCACCCGGGTTCAGGCAGACCCGTTGATAACCTTAATGTTGGGTCGGCGAACTGCCAAATCCCACCCCTGGCTGGCCCCTCCCACTCCTCCCAGGAGTCTCCACGCGACCCGTTTTGGATGCGAGGTAAGTGCAGGACCCACGCAGAGGCTCGGGGTGGGGGGGAAATGGGCCTCCCAGAAGTCCTGGAAGTGGGCCTGTTTCTGGCCTCCGGAGCCCGGGGAAAGCAATTTTCGCCCTCGCAGAGGCTCGAGGAAAGCCTCTGGAGCCTGGGGAAGGCAAAAACGCCCCCTCCCCGAGCTGTGATGCAGGAGACCATGGCCATGCCACTTAGCAACCAGGCAGAGAACCCATTGCTGAAATTTTTGAAGCCCACCCCTGCTTGTTGCCATACCAAAAACTGCTTGGGTTGATTTCAGTGAATTTGTTTCAAGGCAGAAGATCCGGTTTAAATTATAGTTCTAGCTCCTCAATAGAAAATAAACGCAGGAAAAAAAAAAAGTAAGACATCCAAGACATAAAATCACAATTATCATGTAGCAAAATGACCAGAAACTTGATTTGAAAAGGCCTTCCAATAAATGCAGCTAGAATCAATTTACTTGGATAATATAGTTTCATCAGTGCCTTACTTATTTATGTTGCTGCCTTCCTTTAAACGTTCTCCCGCAGCTCCTGTTTTAGATACTCTCTCACTACCAGCCAGATCAACCAGGCTAACTTTGCTTACTTTCTCTCCAGAGTTCTAAACAGGAAAAAAAAGAAAGGAAAAAAGGTGAAGCTTAATGGACATGGAGATTTACAGAAGTAAAAACCGACAAGACACGTGTAATCCACAGTACCTCACTGATCACATCCAGCAACAAGAAATTTCACTGCTGAAATTTGATGCCCAAATGGTTGAGTTTCCCTTTACTGACTTCACTCTCTTTACCACCAAATACCTAAGGCAGTGATAGCAAATTTATGAAACGCATATCACAGGTGACATACCACACCATGTCTGGTGACATATGCCAGGCCTCCAGACCCTCTGAAGCTCATCTGAGAGGGTCTTTCTCTTGCACAACCTTCTGAGGCATCTGAAAATCGTGCGAGGATTCTCACACAATTTTCTAAGTTGCAGAAGCCTTGCGGGGGGCCCTCCTGTGACTTTTGAGGGTTCAGAGAACGGAGAGGAGAGTCTGGAGAAGAGATCCTGAAAGGTCTCTTTGGGCCAAGATGCAGGTGGTGATATGACATGCCAGAAGTCAAAGGTAAACATTTTCTGAATTTCTGACACATAAGAGTCCAAAAAGTATCAAATCACAGACCTAAGGTATGATTATTAACCAACACCCTTCAATAAATTACTTATGTAAAGTTCTGGATTACAGAATTGCACCCATTTTTGTTTAGTTGCATAGGCACACATTGAAAAGCTATATCAAATAAATGTGGTTAAGTGTCATATTGGATCTTTATAATTCAATATTTATTCTGATATTTAATGCAAAATAAACTGTAGTATGCATTAAAAATCTTATAATATTAGAGACTACTTTGGCTGAATTTAACTGTCCAAGCATTTTAATCTTAAAACTGTTTTATCACCTAGTGTCACTTTAGCCTTTATTCTAGATTTAAAAAATAATCTTTATACCTACAACAGTAGAAATTTCATTGGACATACATTCATGTTTTACATTGTTATTTATACAATTTTAGGCAAATACCACTGAAAATAACTGGACAAGGTTTAAATTTTTCAATATATTACTCAAATAATAACATGACTTTATATTCAATTCACTTACACCAGACTGCAGATCATAAAGTGTTTGAGTAATGATAATATTAAATACAGCATGAGAACGGCTGCTTTCTTCATTCATGTTGGTTGCTGCAACCGTCCGGGACTTATTTCCCTCTGACATTAGTGACTCTATATCCTGATGAATAACATAAAACATTGCACATTACAATTTCCTTTTTCCAGTTGCAGCATTTTCAATTTATATAAACCTATCATTTTAGATGTAAACAAACAAATAAAAACTTAAAACATTATATGCATATTATATGTGTATTTTTTCACTCTTATGGAACTCTTCCACTCTACATTTACTAAAGTTCCATCTAAAGTATGGTTAAGATCTATTCTCTGAGGTTGCTGTTCAAAATAATTCTAGAGAGATAATGATATTTCCATGATTGTAAATACAATTTTATGCTGTTTTGCTTTACTTACCAATAAACACAGACCAAGACTCCCAACCAATCAGGATGAAGAAAAAACCATTCTGGCACAGCAGTAGGCTAGCCCCAAATTTAAAACTGAAACAACTGTAAAAGTCTGACTCACAGACGAACACAATACAGAAGCCTGATGATGGCAGATGAGATTCTGCCGAAACGTTGCTACAACTTTAAAAGCACAACTATAATGACTTGGGAAAATACCCGAACAAAGCTGAATACCATACATACATACATACATACATACATACATACATACATACATACATGATTTATATATATAAAATTGTTTGATGTTTGCTATACTAATTCAAAACGTACCTCCAAAATAGCTTAGTCAACTGAAAATGAATACATTAATATAAATGTTTTAAACAAAACCTGTTTAGTTATCAGTACATCTAAAATGTATTAGTGGCTAATGTGGTTTAAATACTAATTACTGCAAATAACTTATATAACTTATATTTTCTCTTCTAATGCATTTTCCTTGTCTGTTTTTTTAACAAATATGTTTAACACATGCATATTTTTTATGCAAGTGAATCTATCTTACCACAAATAACTTTCTTACATATACTGTCCTTATATAAATTAGCCCCCATTCTTCTTTTCTCACCCTGCAGTACAAGCATTGAAGTGCAAACTCATTCTTCAACCCAGGAATACCGTTATATTGACCAAATTCTTACACTTTACTTACTTCAAAGCAAGTAACAGCTAGTTGAGACAAACCATCTACATATGGACCCAAAACTTTATGCTCACGAACTTTGAGGGATTGCCGACTCCTTTAAGACAAAAATATTGTTAAAATTTAAACTTTGTTAGGAAGATGAATCAGTAAAATTAACTCATTGTAGGCAATGAACATATAAACTTGTTCTCAAAAGGAAAATTCATTTATCAGAAATATAAAGATTTTTATTAAAAATATTTTCATATATACACTGTAAAAAGGCAGGAAACAGAAAACAAAACAATGAAATTAACACCCTCCTTGAAAAAAATCTGGTTCCTTTACAAATTTTTTAAAAGTACTAAATAACTTTTCTAACATCTCCATAAATGTTTTTTTTAAATCCCATTTTTCCATTAAAATTGGCATCTGTATACTCTTTTTTAAGACAAAATCTTACAAGTAGCAGCCTTAATAAACATTACTCACTAGAGACTCTTGACAATTCTGCTTGAATAACCATAGCTCTCTGTAATGAACAGGATCAGGCTTACACTACACATCCCAGCAGCAGAGATGTGACTTCAAACTGGTTTCTCCAATTTAGATAAAGTGGTGGTAGAGTGCAACAAATGGAAATGCTGTCAGTTAAGAAAACAGTTCCCATTCTTGTCCATACACATTTTCCTCATTAAGAACAGTTAAGTTTAAAGATGGAGTGACACAGTCATGATGTGTAATTGAATCTCAAATTAAAAAGGAATTCTTTTTTTGAATCTACCACAGCAACTAGCAGGGTAAACAAATATTATCAGTGTTATTCTTATATACTATTAGGAAAACAATGCAAAATACAAACTATAAAGCGAAACTAAAAAATATGTACCAATGTTCCCCTATACATTTAAATTAAAAAGGGTTGGGGGGGGGTAACTCACCCTTTAGGGTCAAGTAGATCTCTGACCTTTTCATTATAGATTTCCATATAGGACACCTCCACTTTAAAAGTGTGTGAATCATTTTGTTCTAAAGTGATTCTCTGAAATAAAGCACAGCAGAGGCGCGGGATCAGACCCAACTGCTCCGCATTTCCCATCATTGAGAAGGATTTTCCTGAGCCTAAAAGAGGAATATAAAGATGCATTTTATATTTAAAAATGGAAAAGTTATCAATCGATGTCTCTTTCGAAAATGATAAGTAACAAATAATAAACAGTATAAATTGTACCATCTCAGGAAAAACGTGTATTTGAGTTAAGGAGGTAGCATAGAACAAAGTATCATTTCCCAAGAATGCATGTTAGCTACAGAGGGAAGATTCACAAGCTCAGGAAAAAAAAAATGGCTGCTTTAAGGTGTTCCCAAAAGATGCTACATGTAAGTCCACACATACTCACAATCACATTTTACCTTTCAGTTCCAGATCTCCACATAATCCTGTCAAATAGTTTTTCTTAGTACCCAACAGAAAAATCAGAAACAATGCAAAAGTATGCCCCAAGGCTCAGCCCTGACCACTCACTTAGAAAAATATCATGCCTGATTGTATTGAAAGCCTCCAAGAGTTCTAAAAGAGCGCCCGCCTACCCCCACCTTTTGGGCAACAGGGACTAGTTTCATGGAGAGATATTTTTCTGCACATTGGAGGGAGTGGGGTTTCGCATGCTGCCTGCATCCAATGGGGCTTCACTTATTCGTGTGGCCCGGTTTCCGGCCCAGTGCCAGTCCATGGCCTGGTTGGGGACCCATTCCAGAGAATCACCAAGGTTAAAGCAAGATAACAAAAGGAGAACAGATTGAAAAATGCAGAAAAAAAACCCCAGACCGAAATAATTCAAGAGAGGACAGGGCCTTTCTGTTTATATATAAAAAAAAGCCATATTAAGGCAAATGGTGAGGAGGGAGGATGACATTATTGGACCTAAGTCAAGTCCTGACCTTAAGGAGAGTTAACACAGTGAAGAAGACACTGGTGAGTGGTTCGTCTTTCCCAGAAGATGGTGACAACCTCCGCAAAATATATCATTTCCGTTTGGAACTTATAAATACAACTCTTACCTGTTTGTCCATATGCAAAAATGCAAGCATTATATCCCTGAAAGGCTTTCTCAAGAATTCCTTCTCCAAGGCACTTAAACACAACTTGTTGATCTACAATAGAGAAAAAAAAGGAAATAACTGAGATGGAATTATCTATACTGTAATGCACTTTGCCCCCTCTGTATCATTCATGGAGCTACCACTGTTGCTTTTACCGATAGCAATTCTAATTGTTGGAACACATTGGTTCATATTTATGACAGTTATAGCGTTCCAGGTAATATGATTGCGTTTTGCAACCTTGTGAGAAGCAAAATCAATGGGGAAGCCAGATTCACTTAACAACTGTGTTACTAATTTAATAACTGCAGTGATTCATTAAATAACTGTAGCAAGCAAGGTCCTAAAATGGGACAAAACTCTGTCTCATTTAGCAACATAAATTTTGGGCTCAATTGTGGTCATACCACAAGGACTAACCTGTCAAAAAAGTCAAGAACTCTCTGTATTTCTATGCTGCCTATCTCATCTAAGTGACTTAGATTCTGCGGAGCCATTATTTTGTTTGTTTTTAGTTTTTACTGATGTGTACATGTCAGAGAATCAACCATAGCCTCTTGCTGTTCTATTGGCTGAAGTTGATATGTTCCCACCGGCTGATGGAAAGAAAAGGATAGAACTCATGCTGTCCCTGATTAATAAAGAAGGCTAAAGATGGCAGAACGCTTGGGCTAGCCTAGTGATATATGGAAGGAGCAAATACAGATAAGCTCATGATTAGCGCAACTACAAATAATGCAGCATACAATTTAGCGTGAATTGTAAATTGATACCAGTTCATTTAATGGAATCCAAAATTTAGTTAATGCAAAGCTAGCACGTGAGTTGTTGCAACTGAGGATTTAAACGGCAATTTGTTAGGATTGATCCTTGGCTGAGAGTGTGTGGCCAAGGATTGGAAAGCTGATAGGACTTAACAGATCATCTTGCAACCTTCCCTACGGGCTTCTCTAATGACTTTGCTTTGCCAAATGGCAATCACATAACCACAGGATGCTGCAACCATTGTCAGTATAAGCTGGTTGCCAAGCTCCCAAACCACACTTATATGATTGTGGCAGCATTGTAATGTGAATGAAACTTCGAGAAACAGTTTATCACTCATTCAGCACCACCACAATTTTGAACAGCTGCTGAACAAATGGTCAGTAAATGAGGATTATCTGTACAGCCCAAATATATTAACACAAATACCATAACAATTGAGAAAGCAAAAAAAAAATCAATGTTTTATGTTATACAGGAATGGATAAGAAATTTTTGAATCAGCTAAAGATAGTAGTAATTAAAAATCATACCTGCATATTTGGCAGTGTTTGATTCATCCATAGACCAGAAACAGTAATCAAAGGCAAATACCTGTGGGTAAATATACTTTATATCACTACTTGCACTAATATGAACTCAAACCATATTTTTAAAAGTTTAAAAAATTAATTAAGCTTACATACTTAGTTCTTAGTTTCCCTTTGATTATTTCAACTAATTTCTTATCAAAAATAAGACACTTAAAATCCAGTCTAATATGCTTATCCTTTATTTCTAGTGAAGATTTCATACGAGTCCTATTCTCTTCACTAAGTAGCTACAGTGTTTAGGGCAGTAATGATAAAGTCCTGGAGGAGTATTGAAAGACCCTGGTTCTAGTCCATCTTCAACCATGAAAACTCACTGGGTATTTTTGACCTGGTCATTTTCTCAGAGCCCAACCCATGCCCCACAGAACTTTTGCTATATGGGATTAGAAGAGAAGTATGCCTTCCCCCCTTGCTTTCTGCAAAACAACCTGATGTTTTACATGACAATGCCCATCTGGATTGGCAACCCTGATCCATGCTGAGGGACAAGTAGGTTTGGAAGTCAAGATAGTTGGATTCTAGTTGGCATCTAACTAAAGGTACTTTTACATAGTTAACAATGTATAATTCAGTATAAAAAGATTTGGCAGGAGAGGCTAAATAAGGAGATTGATAGGAACATATCCGAATACAGGTCGTCCTCAATTTATGAGCAAAAATTGAACCTTGATTGTTGAGCAAAAATGGTCATTAAGCTAGATGTCCACATGACTGCTTTGCTCAATGACTGCAATTATGGCACTCCTGGTTGTGGTCATTAAGCAACATCCCAGATTAATAAGAAGATGGAGTTAAAGTGTTGCCTGTTGAATTCAGCATGAAGGGAAGGGAACTGCTCTGGCAGGTTGGGGGAATAGAGCTTGGGCCTTCAAGATTTGAGCTCCATTTTGCATTCTGTTTGAAGAGTTGTACTCCCCTATATTATATAGTGTATTAGTTATAATTTAATCTTCAATTCAAATTTAAATTACTGTGCATTTTCATAGAAAATAATATGAACATGATTCCTGCTATCATAGCTCTACTAGAGGTTAGTATGAATACAGTTGTATGTGAAAGTTTAGGTACCCAGCCACTAATAAAAACTATGTATTTCAACAAATTCATAAGTGAACAGATACTTTTTATATGCAACTGTGTGCAGATTCCAGAAATGAAAATTGGATACGACAAGCAAAGTTTAGGATCCTTTAAATTTATATTTTACACCATCTCTTTTTGTAGAAACAAGAGTTTCCAAACTTTTTGTAAAAATCTTTCTGTGCCTAATTTTGCAATTTTTCCCACTCTTACTTGCAGAAAAGATTCTTAGTACTCCTGGTATATACTGTGTGTCTAAAATCTTCCTATAAATTTCCAAAATATTCATGTCTATGACCTCTGAGATGCATTCCAAAACTATTATTAAGGTTTTCAGAGAAATATAATCTTAAAATTTGTAGTATATGAGATTGTCTCAGATTTTGTTCATTTTGAAATTAACTAAAACATGGAATTTGACTAGAGGTGCCTAAACTTTTTCATATCTCTGTATATGTATTTTAAATACTTTCAGTATTAGTTTCAGAGAAGGTATGGCATTATTTGAACTGAAAATTAATATTCCTGTTCCCTGGTCTGCTCTTCCAATTTAAGTGCCTCTCACTTCTATTTCATAGATGAAAACTAAATCCAAGTAGAAGATATATATGTTTCTGCTTATTAGAGAAAACGAATCACATGTATATATGTATACAGTATTTTCCCATTTTTTCATCTCTTAAACAAAAGTGAAAAGAAAGCATATCAAGATTATTCATACAATCATTGAATATGCCATAGAACATTGCAGCAAATATAGACATGCACTAGACGCTATTCCATCTGAACCGACCATCAGTAATATATAATCTACATTGGACAAAAGGAGAGATGGTTGAACATCCACCTCAAAATGTATCGTAATATCTACTACCGGTATTATTTGAAAATTTGTTCATTGATTCTTGTATATATCTTTGAAGCCCTTTCTCTGTCCCCATTTTAACAAATTAACAAAATACAGATAGTTGTACTAAATCACATTAGATTACAAAAGTATTGATCTGAAAGCAAAATGGCATTATTAGTGCTTAAAACTAAGACCTGTATTATGTATCACTGTAAGCAAAAGATCTTGATTCGAAATTACAAAATCAAAGAGAATAGAAATAAGTTGCTTACCTTTGGTAATTTTCTGTGGTGTGGAAATCCAAGTGGAAGATGAGTAAGCATTAAAAAGAATTGAAATCGGATTAGTGTTGGTAACTATTAAATCACTTTAATATATTTTTTTCTATTGTGAAAGATAGTTGAATTTAATATTTATTGATGGTGGAAAAATGTGTTTTTGATAGTGGGAAAAAAGTAGCACCAACAAGATTTAGATTAAAAAAAATAACTGCTTAGCACCCTAGTAACATTACACCCTTTTCTTATTTAGCAACTACAATTCCTTCTTTAAATAAGAAGGAAAATGGTCATTTATAGAACATGTGAGAGAGAGGGAAGGGAGAGGGGGGAAGAGAGAGGGAGAGAATCACAGATTGCTACTGTTTCATGAACAGACCAACTGTAATTTTGAACAGTTAAATGACCAGTTGTAAGTCAAGGACTACCTGTGTTTTAGATCCCACTAGTACACTATTCTATCTGGAACCTCTGATTAAGACTCAGCATCAGGTTTTCAACAATAAAATGATTTCTGCAGTAGTCTATGTTATGATTGCTTAACAGATGGGGAAAATGTTTGATCAATCATTTTTTTCCCTCATTGTTCCTCCTGAAGAAAGATTAGTGATGAGTTGTACATACTGTATGTACTTTGCGTGGAGAGATGAGTCGCATGGAACATAAGAAGGATTTGTCATGTGGCATTTAATGTGATAAGACAGCTTTTTCGTGGAAGGAAACAATGTATTATGAAAACCGCTATGATAATGGCAGTGGTAGGATTCAAAACCTTTTACCACCAGTTCGGTGGGTGTGGCTTGCTGGGCACACTTTGGGTGCGTGCTCACACTTCGTGTGCACGTGCACACCAAACACACACTTTGCGCAGGCGCAGAGGCGTTCCGACTCACCTCCTGCAAGCCTGCACTCTCCCGGTTGCTTCAGCAGCTGTCGCGCGGCACTCTTCTGTGCCGCGCAAAGCAGCTGCGCTTCAAAAGCAGAAGATAAAGGCAAGTATGGGAGCCCGGGAGGGTGGGCCCAACAGCAGAGTGGCAGAGAGAACCAGTTTGGTCTCCACTGCTCATCGGCGCTACAGGCTCGGCAGAACCGGTAGCATACCACCACTAGATAACCACTAGCTATTCTACGGTTAAAACATTAGTGTGAAGAACGCAGTAAATTCAACTGAAAACTGGCAGAAAACTCTTGGCCAATTTTTTTTCACAGATAAATATAGTGTCCTAAAAAATGTGTATCAAGCTATTCTAGAAGGTAATGTCCCACACTCTGAAGAAACTAAAGCTGAAAAAAGATTGGATATTTCAGAAGTCAATTAGGTGAAAGGCGCCTCCATATCTACATGAAGTATTTACAAGAAAGAAAAGTAAAGATTTTGGAATATTTTGATTATTAATGCAGATCTGTGAGCAATCTCAACATGTGGTACCCCCAAGGAGACAAGAATATTTCTGCAAGAAAAAATTGGGGGGGGGGGGGAATCCAACAAAAAGACTCAGCTGAGTAGAATTATTTAATTTCTGCCAAGAGAGGTGTTATACTGTCTGAAAGTGCATTCAAACCTCTGCGATTTCATGTTCATTATTTTCTTATTCAAAATCTTTAAACAATTTAAATACAAAGAGTCAGTATGCATTCAGATTTGCAGATATACCATATGTAGAAGTTGCGTCAACTTTTGGACATTGCTAGCTGAACCAGAGAGAATGTATGTTTCAGTGGAATGAAACCTCTTTGCAGCCTTGTCCAGCAAATAATCTTTTAACCTTAGGATGGACAGAAACAATGACATGCACAAACCAGAAGTTGATTAAGGTATGTATGACTAATGGATTAAAGTGCCAAATGTTAGGACATGAACTTCCACGATACAGAACTGCTTAAAAATAGCCAGACCTCTCCCTGAAATTGCATGTTAATTTATAACATTATTCCAAGACAAGACTGATAAAAACCAGTTGTTCAGAGTCCAGTATTTTTAGGTTATAAAGTGAAAAAGAGGAGCTAGTAGAGTAATCTGTATATATGTGTGTGTGTGTGTATGAAACGTACCATTGTGCTTACTGCTTTTGCCAGCTTTTTTTCTTGCTATCTTCTCTACTTTGGGATAGCTTTCTGAAATCAAAGAGTAGCAAGAACTTTCTGTAACTATGGCTAATTTAGAGAACTTGCATTGCTTGGGGAAAACCCTGTGGATCCATGCTATAGTATATACCTTCAATTAGCTGCAATTGCGAAACCTATTAAAGCAGCAATTATATTCAAGCTGTGATTCAGTAAACCTGAATGTACATTGTTGCTTTCCATGATGATTGTGCCCTTCTGAAATCCAGAAGTGCTTAAATTTTAGCATGTAACCGTAGTACTACTGAGAGCCAATTTGGTGTAATGGTTAAGGTATCAGGCTATTAACCAGGGGACTATGACTTCTACTGCTGCTTTAGGCACAAAGCAGTTGGGTGATCATGGATCAGCTACTTTCTTTCAGCCCTTGGAAGGAGACAATGGCAAACCACTTCTGAAAAATGCTGTCCTGAAAACTGCAAGGACTTGTCTAGGCAGTCTGAACAAGAATCAAACATGATTTAAAGGAAGTAAAAAAAAAATACTATTATACGATGGGTTGAATGAAAAGTACTGTTCCGCCTCCATATCTTTAGTTTTAATTTGGGGTATGTTAATAAATGAAACAGGAAAATAATTCTTGAAATAAGCCCTTTTGTTAGTGTATTTACTTTTCCACATGATCACAACCATTTGCTCCACACTTCTGCCAACAAGGGACAAACTTCTTACAGCCATCATGAAAGAAACCTTCCAATCTTTTCATTTGAGTCAGATACCCGCAATGGAATTTTTTCTATTTTGCAAAAAGATAGAATTTGCAAAGCACCCAGCCTGCGTAGTCTACCAGTGAAAATTAACATCACAACTGCTTCTTGGGTGACTTGTGAGGCACAGTGTTTTCATGCTGCAGCAAAATTTCATTTTTGTGCTTCTGAATGCTACTAAACTGTTGTTTCAAAGTTTTGAGTGTTACAATGTAGCACTGAATTGACTGTGGTGCCAGATTGAAGGAAATCGATACAAATAACATTCTATGTACCTTCCCATACACAATTAGACCTGAGGTCTATTTCTCTCTCTTTCTCTATCAACTTTGTGATGGTACTTTATGGATAGACGTTTCATTTCTGGGTCATAACAATTAGCCTATGGGTAGGGTGCTGTCATGATACTATGAAGAAATTCCTCATATTTATTCTGATAGTATGACAACAATTGTGAGCAAATTTCAACTTGTGAATTGTTTATCTCTATCATGGGCATGTGAAGAGCCTATTTTGGACAGACTTTCCAATATTGAAGAACATGAACAATGGAACCATTACTTTTCTGTGAAATACCAAGATTGACACAAATTTTCTTTCGACTGTTTTGCTGACTGTAATCATATCAACCTTTTTTCATATGAAGCTTGTTAGCTGTCATCACAGGTCTTCCACTTGAGTCTAAATCACACAAATCAGATCTTCCTGTTTCACATCTTTATTTTTTTGGTCCAGTAGTGCACAGTACTCGTCAATAGAGTACTCACCACCATAAATAACCTGCATTCAGCAATGAATATCATTAAGAGAGCCTCTTTTGGCAGCAACCATGGCATATCCCTAAAGCAGCTGACAAGCACTCACTACAGTTTTCGATTTCACAAATAATAGCAACTTTTCCTCCCTAATTCTTGCCAACTAAAGTGAAAGAACACATCACAGCTTCCAGCATATCAGTACTGCCATCAATTGTTGATAACATTGGAAGCATCAATTTTCCTTCAACCCTGAACAACCCTGTTGTTCAGTTCTAGTCTCACTAACATTATCATTTGCTTACTGTTTAATGAACATTACAACCCCATGGTTTTAACTGACCATGTCAGCACGGGAGTGATTGTTTACTGCATGTGTCCATCTGGGCCACAATGTTATATTCATTGAATAAATAATGTTTTTTTGAAAGTTCAAAGTTTCAGCAGGTCCAAAGTTTACGGGCTACATTTAGTTGCTGTACGTTTGAAACAAGAGGATACTGAAACAAGGTTATAACACTGGAAGATATTTTAAGCATGCATCCAAGTCTCTTTTCGTTAAATAGGCCATTCGCTGTTGCCAGTGTGCTTTTTAGTAAAGTAAATAATTTAAGAATTTAGGGAAAGGTTGACTTAAAATATCTTAATATATCTATATTCAGTCGCATGTAAAAGATTATGATGGGGAAAGTGAAAACTTCACTATCCAAAAGGAGAATATATACAGTGTGTGTATATACCGTATTTCTCACAAAATAAGGCCGGGCCTTTTTTTTTTTTTTGAGCCCCGCAAAAACGGCGAGGACATCTTTTCGGGGGTGAATTAATTTCCCCCCTCTGCGCACCAGCGCCGTCTCCAGCAACTGAGTCGCTCCCGCTTTTCCCCGTCCCCGTAACAACAGGAAAAAAAAAGATTTTGAGGTACCTGGGAGCACCGCGCACTCCGTTTTGGTTTAATCCCGAGCAGCTGGGTGGGCGCGAGAAGAGCCGAGCGAGCGTCTCTGCTGCTGCTACCCTTGGTGCTCCAGCCTCGGGCTCTGCAAGTTTGCAAAAGCCCCGGTGCGCAGCCCATTCCTGCATTCCAAGCACTCAGGCCGAGCTGCAGCTGTCCCTCTCGCCAGCACTGTCTCCAATAACAGCGGCAGAAGCGGCGGGAACCGTGGAAGCGTTTTAGCTGCTTCTCGGGTGGGGGAGCCGCCTCCGTAACTTCCACTACTATGATATTTCTAAATAAGGGCCATGACCAGAAAAAAAAAAGTTTTTTCTAAAAAAAGATCCCTATTTTAATATCTTAATAGTATTGCCACAGATCTGCCATCTTAGGACCTGGGTCTTAATAATTCATAATTTTAGAATAACACTCTAATAATTAGTATCTCACACAACATCTGAGACAAAAGCAACGTGGTTAATGGGTAAATGTTTATATTTAACAATATGTTAATATTTTATAAACTGAAAAAATGAACATGATGAGCAATTTAAAAGAAATCAGAATAACTTTTTTTTTAGTTTTCTATAAATAAAGGCTAAGGATGCAGTCAGCTGTTATTCCATCGACTGCTTCTGGCAGGTGATATTATAAGAGGGCCTGCATAGCAGCTTCTATCTGGCTGATAATATGTTGGATAAAAAAACAGTTGGTATCTGTCTCATTTCACCAGACACTCCACTTAGATAAGATGAAACTGAGGGTTTTACAGTGAACTACTAACTCACCACAGCTATAACTTTTACCTATTAACTTGATCTAAAGCTTGAGGCTATGATAAATAAGCACATCAGCCACTATACATGGCATATATTGTTTCTAATGAAAAGGTTTAAAAAGTTAGAATTAAAAATGTTATCTAAATATACTGTATCTTGTTTTAAAATATATGTGTACCATATAATCTCTGAAAAAAATTTTTTTAACTCATTATAATCTATATGTATAAAAGCGAAATACCATTCACGCATCATCACAAAATCTACAAACTCTGTAAAGCCTACAAACTTGAAATTTGGCACGTATGTTCCTCTTGGCTTCTAGGTGCTAGGTAAGAAAGGATTTTTTGAAATGACCACCAGAGCACCAGTATTTTGTGTGTTATTATTAACAAGCTCTGATGCTAAGGAGTTCTACCCCCCTCCCCACCTGAAAAGAAATCTGTTCCAAATGCAAAACACAGAGGAGAGGAATTTCAGTTTCAGTTTTACTTTCACAGCACCAAGCAGCTTTAGTACAGAACAGTTGAGCTAAGCCATGCCCAGGCTCCTTGCTGTCTCCTTGCTCACACAAATACTATTTCAGTTTCCAAACAGCCCTCAACTCTAGCCTGATGAATAACGATGGATGTTAGTAGGCAGAGGAAGAATTCTTTTTCCTTATTTTCCTCCCCCAAAATAAGTCCGACCACATAGTTTTGTAGCGAAGCACGGGTGTCGAGCTAGAGATATCCACATCATTTTAAAATCAAAATATTTCATGTCCAAAATACATTGCATCAATTACTGTAAAAATTTAGAAGCCCTGTTTCAAGCTTAAAGCAATTATTTTGAACTTGGAAATAACTCTTCTCAGCTTGAAACATTTTCTGATTGATCTGAATAATCCATTTTGAACTTGATACTGGATGTTTCAACTCAAAATGTTTGGCACATTCCTACATGAAATATGGTAATCATTTCAATCTGCACGGGAAACTGTAGAAAACAATTAGGACTTAAGCACACAAGATTATTATTAAATCTTAAATATAAATTATTGTGTTACAATGAGACTTATTTGGTTGTTATCAACTTGATTCTATGAAAGCGCCAGCATGGTGTAATGATTAATAGTGAACTCAGAGTGGTAAGACCCAAGTAATTTAGTCTTCTCTTAGACATAGAAGCCAAATCAATGTCAGCTAACAGTCCATCTGTTCACATTGTACATTGTAAGCTTTATTGGAAGAACATGTGAAATACAAAAAAAAAAAAATGGCCCATGCAACTAAGCAAGACAAAGAGAAAGTAGTAGTATCTTGGAAGCAGAACTGGACATATTAAAGCTCATTACTTTTACTATCTTTGGATATATCTAATTTTTGATGGGACTGGGCTATAGCTTCATTAGACTATTGATAACAAATTACAATGAAGTCAGTGGTAGATGAGAATCTTGAGAGCACTTCTGGAATTGTCTTTACTCCTGGGCCGCTAGTCACTGTGGCACAAAAAATGGCCACTCAGGTTTTGGTGATACTACACCTGGAGATGTTACTAAAGCAGGTATATTATTGCCAAATACAGGTCTGCTTTCAGAAATATTTGGAACCTGTGGCTGGTACAAAATGCAGCCACACCTAATATTGTTGTGACAGAGTGGAAAAGTCTGATTCACAACTTACTTCCATTTGAAGTTCTATCAATGGGCAGGAGAGAATAGATATTTCTCATCAGTGGGCAGCAGACTCTGCAATTACCTCCTGCAAGAAACCTATGTTGCTCTCTCTTCTGAAAAAGCTGTAAAGCAAGTATTTAATCCACCTATTGCATTGTTTCACAATAGTTTCATGGTGAATCTTTATTTCAATTATTAGGCTACACTGTACAGATAGTCCTCACATTATGACCAGAATTGGAACCAGAATTTTCATTTTAAGTTGTTGTGGTCATAGGTTGAGTCAGGCCCAATTTTACCACAATTTTTGTAGTTGTTAAGCAAATCACACAGTTCTTGAGTCAATCCAACTTCCCAAAAGGCTTTTTTTTTTACCAGAAATGGGCAAAAAAAAAAAAAAAAGCTGCAAATCACGATTACATGACCATAGGACACTGCAACTGGCTGTAAATGCAAGCCAGCTGCCAATTGCCTGAATTGTGACCACATGACTGTAGAGGTGATACAAGGGTTGTAAGTAGAGTACAAATTATAAGTATGGTGGAATCACAAGCTGAAGGAGAGGAAATCCCTTTAGGGGGAATAAAGAGACATTCCAGCATGGAATCAGTTTGGGAGAGAAAATATCTGAGGTCAAAACATTAGTGTGGTGGAAACTCAAGCTACACTGGAGGGATGTGTTAAGAGGGGGCCAAGCTTAGAATCCTTGCACTGCAGAAACCTCCACAGACTTGACCTATCTCAGAATCCCTGAAGCTTTTTCTGACTATTTCCAAGGGAATGCAGTCAATCTGACAAGATTCCTATAAGTGATCAACAAAAATATCTACCTGGGCATATTCACTAGCGATTCTGGTTTCTTGCACCTGACAATAAGTCACTTTTTCCAAGGCTGTCATAACTTTTAACCATTGTTAAATGAATGGTCATAAGTTGAGGACTACCTGTATATGTTTAAGCTACCTGGCGAGCTATTTGCAGACATAATAATATGTAGCAACTAACGTTCATACAAACAAACATTACACATCCCTTTGCAATTTCCTTCAGCACTTGCAAAAGTTAGTACAGTTTTCGTAAGATACTGTACTTGCGCAGAAACTTCTTCTAATTCTTTTACTAGCTGACTTGGAAGACTTCTGCCAATTATGAGCGCCAGAGGAACTGCAGGATGCTGCAGAAGAGAGGAAAGTAATATGGCCACTTCAGTTTATTCTGAAAGTAAAGGAGCCAAGTCTCTTCATGAAACAGATTCCAGAGTGAGCTTTGCTTTATCTTTCATTGAAGCAAACTATCCACACGGAGCCCTACTGTTTAATACATTCAGATGTCAGTGTGACACTCTACATTATAGTGACTTGCATTCCTAGTATAATGTTGTAAATCAGTCATAGCTATGCATACTAACTATAGAATTACTATAGCATTGATACAGAGAATAAAGTCTCAATTGCTCAAAAAGATAATCAACCTGATTCAATTCAAATGAATCTGATTTAGAAAAATATTTGACTTGATGAATCAAAGAGTCAGAAAATCAATCCAATTCAGTTACTGGAGCTTAACCAGGTCAATTGTTTAAATTTTGATTTGAATAAAAAAATCTTTCTGGGCATATGCCGAGGCTTTGAAATAATTTAGACAAATTTAAAGCCATTCATTTTGGCCTTCTGATTTGATTTGGAAAGGTAATTCAAGTAGGAGAGTCAAATCAATTGCCTTCAAATCAAATCTCTGAATCCAAATTTCACATAGACCTAATATTTCCTTTAATTCCCTGGAACAGTGTCTTGATATAATAGAAAATACTGGAATATAAAAGTAACACTATAATAAAATTATACAGAAGTATCCCTTACACATCAAATAGTCATTTATCTCTCATCTCCATAACTAAGACACATAATTTTCATTGAAAGACAGGTTCAAATAATATAACTTTCCTTTTTTATAAGAAAGCTGTAACTCAGATCCACTGAATAAAAACTCACAGAGACACAGATTCATATTTTAGTCAGGAGATCACTATCAAAAAGTAGAAAATGTAAATTTTCCTTCTGCACCTTTGCTGCATAAGTCCTCCTTATGAATCTCAAATGAATGGGGGGAAATCTGATCTATTTTTAAAGTTATTTTGGTATTTGGGATGATTTCCAATTGCTCTTTTCAAGGATTTATAAATAAATGCCAGATATATTCTTACAACTATAATAAACCACAATCAATAAGGAATCCAGGAGAGGCATTCTGCACATATTTACGAACTTTTGCATTTAAGCACCAACAACCTCCATTTCTGCCTGAAATTCTAAATATCTTTCAGATCAACCCCAAACCCCACACACATACTACTGTAATGCAAATCATTTAGAAGACAGCATTAACTTTTTATTCATGCAGCTGGATATTCTGATGTTCTGCAGGTTAACTAACCTTATTTCTATTTGGCACCTGCATGAGCCAGAAAGGGATCATGGCCAAAACCTTTTTTTTTTTTTTGGGAACAGAGGCAGATTAAGGAAGCAACTGATGTGCCCATAACAAAAGCTGCTGGGCTCCAGGACACAGGTTTGGCTTTGTTCTTTTACCTGCTTTCTCCTTGCTTGTTGTTTGAAGGCGGAGGATGCAAGACAGTCTGATTCCCTTCCATTTCCACAACACACTTGGTATTCAACTCCAACTCTAGAATGTAACACAGGGCACTTCAGAACTTTTGTCTGCCCCAAAGAATACTTTTTTTCTCCCAGCTCTCTTGTGATTGATGGATGGATGGATGGGTTGATTGATTACAACACACTTCATTGCTAGCCAGCGGGAACTTTTCCCGTTTTTTTCCCCTCATGCCCAGCCAAAACAAAACAAAACACAACACAACACAACAACCCCATTCCCCACTCACGAGTAGAAAAGCCAAGGAAGCAAGATGGGCGTTGTTCTCCCAAATACTGAGAAGGAGCGCGGCGGGGTTGAAGCCCAGCAAGACACTCGAGAGGATTTCTGCTCCAAGCGCTCCTCCGGCACAATCCGAGAGCTCCGTTTTTTTTCGCAGGATCGCGCTCCGCAGCCCGCTTCCCACGGACCTTCCGCCGTTGCAAAGAGTTTGCCGAAATGGTGGGAACGACAAACAACCCCCCCTTCCTTTCCCGAAAAGCTGCAACTCTGAACACCCCCCCCTTTTTTTTTGCTTCCACCCCACAACTCTTTTGCAAACAAGTGCATTCTGCAAAGAGCCTGGCCAGGGAAGAAGAAGAAGAGGAGGAGGAGAGGGGATCGTTTCAGGGAGAAATGTGCACGGTTTTGATTCTTCCATCGGATTTATTACCTCGCCTGTTCATGGGCCGGACTCTGACGGCCACTTTCACCTTGGTATCCGACATCTTTCCCGGCAAGCGAGGGGGAATCCTCCCCGCAGAAGCGAACGCAGGTCCGGAGCCTCCTTTTCCCCCCTTGGCCGCGGACCCTTCAGAGCCGCGGCAGCCGCTCGCAACGACTCGCCCGCAGCCGCCCGGGCAGCGCGACCAGCGCGGCGCCGACGAGGCTCATCCCGGCCCGAGGCGGGGGAAGTCACGGGTGGGGGGGGGGGGGGGGGGGGGGGGGAGGGAGCCGCGCGAAGCTCGAGGAGGAGCAGCCGCCGCGGCGGGAGAAGAGTTTCCCAAGGGCGCTCTCGCTTCAGCCTCGCCTGCGCGACAAGCTCCGCTGCCGCCGCCTCCTCCTCCTCCTCTCCCCCGCCACCGCCATCTTCCAGCTTCCGAGCCGGCGGCGGCGGCGGCGGCTCCCGTCTCAGTCCCTGCTTTCCCCCTGTGGAGATTCCGGGGGGGCGGGGGGAGAAGGGCAGGGAGGTCCGCTGTCGGAAATACCCGAGCGACTTCGCCCCTGCGAAGCGACCGGGGGAGGGGGGGAAACGACTCCACGGCACAGCCAACTGCTCGAAAGGGCGGCTAAAAGTCATGCGCGAACTTTCTCAGGCCGCCAGCCGGGAGGGCGGCTGGCGCAAGCGCAATCGAACGCGTCGGGATGGTGCGGGGTGGGGGGCGCAATACGTGGGGTCGTGTTCGCTCTTTTCTCCGTCTGGAGGCAGCTATCGGGCCGGGGGGGGGCGGGGTCAAGACTGAAAAGAGGGACGGCGGCAGACTTGGAGCCGCCCAACGGAGCAGCAAATTTAAGGCTGCGGGTTGTCCGATGGTCAGGGACGGGGAATGGCGTGAAGTAGTGCGGGAGCGATTGCCCGCCCGGGGGAAAAGCGTGGAAAGTGGAATACGGGTAGTCTTCCACTTACCGCCACCGTTGAGCCCAAAATCTATGTGCGAAATAAGTTTTTGCCCCATTTTACAACTTGTCAGAGTTGTTAACTGAATCACCGTGGTTGTTAAATGAGTCACCTAGTTGTTAAGTGAATCTGGTTTCCCCATTGACTTCGCTGGTCAGAAGGTCGCAAAAGAGGATCACACGATCCCCTTTGGGACGGCTGTGACCATCATTAAATGGGGATCAGTTGCCGAGCCTCTGAATATAAATCACCTGACCACGGGGGATGCTGCAACAGTCATAAGTGTGAAAAATGGTCTTAAGTCACTTATTTCAGGGCCGTTGTAACTTGGAAGGGCACTAAATGAACTGTTGTAAATTGAGGACTACCTGTAGTTTCAAAGGGACGCAGATCCTGTCTACTCAGGATCCCGGTTGCATTCTTTGTTTCTTTTCAGCTACGACTCGCCGGGATTGAATAATTCACTTAAGAACTCAGGGTGTGGCACTAGTCCGAGTTTTGGAGATCACAGAACCACCTTTAACACTGTGTGCAAGGAAGGGGCCATAATAATTTGTCCCCTTTTCTGCTTCCTTCTCTCCCCTCCTCCTCCTCCTCCTTCACTTTTGTCAGTCTCCCTCCTTCTCCTGGGTCCATCGCTTCTTGTGAACAACTTCCCCTGTCTGGCCTGAAAGGGGTGGATTTATTTTTATTTTTATTTATTTATTTTGTCCTACAAGGAATGTTTGTGTCCTAACTGCTGTCAAGCCTTTTCTTCTTGCTGGAGAAAAGGAAAAGTTGTTTAAAGCAGGAAAAGTTGCTTAAAGCAGGGGAGGATAGGTTCCTGAGGCACAGGATGAGTTCTCTATTGACCTTTTATATAGGGCGAATGAATTCAGACAATACAGGAACCCTGGTCATTTGCTGACTGTTTGAAGTTTACAACGGCATTGAAAAAAATAACTTACGACCGTTTTTCACACTTATGACTGTTGTGGTATCCCTGTGGTCACATGATCAAAATTCAGGCACTTGACAACTGACTCATGATGGTTGCAGTGTCCTGAAGTTGTGAAGGTCTCCTTTTGCCACCTTCTGACAAGCAAAGCCAATGGGGAAACTAGTTTCACTTCACAACTGTGTTACTAGCTTAACTGCAATGATTCACTTAACGAGGCAAGAAAGGTAATAAAATGGGGCAAAACTGGACTAACTATCTCACTTAGCAACAGAAATTTTGGGCTCAATTGTCATCAATCAAGAACTACCTATATACCTCCGATTTAGCCCTTAATTCTGACATACTGGGAGAAGAAGGTAGATTCGTTCCTTTCCTAAATGCATGCATGCAGCTGGAAAGTTACTGCGTTATAGAGCAGGGGTCTCCAATCTTGGCAACTTTAAGACTTGTGGACTTTTTTTGCTGGCTGAGGAACTTTGGGAATTGAAGTCCACAAGTCTTAAAGTTGCCCAGGTTGGAGACCCCTGTTACAGAGTGTAAATTCCACCTCTTCTGAACCCTAACCCTTACAGTAATTTTTATGCCGTGTTTTGCCCTAAACATTTTAGGAAAAATCTTTTTCTTTTCTGATCCATGACTAATAAAAAATCCAGAGTGCATCAAATTATCTTGTTTTGGTCCTCACCATTAATGGGACATGTCATAGCACAGTTTGTGAACTAGGCCAATGATTAGGTCTGCCCACTGTACACTGTGTTTTGATTTGTTGGTGGCTATGTATTATCTGATTATTGCTTGTGAGTGTGTGTGAATGTTTGAGTCAGTGTTTGACCCCTGGTGAATGCCTGGATAAGTCCTGCAGGTTTCTTAGGAAGGTTTCAGAAGTAGTTTGCCATTGCCTCCTTCCTAGGTCTGAGAGTGACTGGTGCAAGATCACCCAGCTTGCTTTATGCCTAAGGCAGGATTAGAACTCATAGTCTCCTGGTTTCTAGCCTGGTGCATTAACCACTATACTAAAAATACAGCTTATTTCTTAATGAAAAAAGCACAAGAGCTTTTTTGGTACCTGCAGGTGTTTTTTTTTTTTTAAAATTGACACAGTCATTAAAACACATGGGTGCTATTTGTCCCTTAAAGCCATGCATTTCGGTGAAGAAGAAACTTGGTTTAGGCTTTGTGGTTTATTAAAACAAATGCATACATGATTCTCTCAAACAATAGGAAAAGTTATGTTATTTAATCAATACTATTATCAATTCCATACATGTCCCTATGGTAGCATTCCTTATAACAGGCAGTCAAAGAAGTAAGTGTGTGTGAGAAATTAGACATCATGCTGTTTCCTTCTATTGCAAAGCATAATGATTGATGATTAATTGGGTGGTCATTGTTCTTACTCTATTCCCTTTTAATTCTCATTTCTATTCTGGAACTGGAAGATAAACTGCTTGGTCTCTGAAACATTTAGCAACACATTTTTCAGTTTCTGACATATTCAACACAAATTAGTGTGAACTATAGAGAAAACAAGACTTCCATTATTTGCCCCTTCCTAAATCATCCATTCTTCATCATTATGGCAAAAGAATGTCTGGTATGCAAGAAACAGATCCCCATCACTCAATTATGAACATGGATTCTAAATTGAAAGCAGAGGTTCCTGACAAAAGAGGCCAAGAACTAAAAAGGTTAAAATTTTCAGGACAGATTCTTTAAATAGTTTTGAAAGATACTTTCTGAAATCATATACACAGTACAAATCATAGCACTTTGTATTTCAAGATAATCTATGGTACATGTTTCAGTCTTGTTTAAAACTAACATGTCTTCTGTTAACAGAAAGTCCATTAGTGTATCATTGTAGGCTCGTAGAAAAATAATCAATTCTTACATAATAGATAGGAACCCAATTCCATAGATCTATGCAAAAAATTAATAAAATAAGTTCTTACAATGCCTTTATAAAATCTCTAGACTGGCCACAGTTGGAATTGCATTAGTTAGAATGTGTGTAGTTCTACCCAGAATATAAATTACAAAGGATTCTAGAGTTGTAAAAAAAATGCAGAAAAAAGCAATTGCTGTAATCAAAATTGTTGGACCAACTTTTAGGAAAAGATGAAAGAGAATTTAAAAATATATTTGGGTGTAAATAAAAGGACCATGTTTCTCCATGGTTTGTCTCATATGCAGTTTGCAAGTCCATAAAAACCTCTCAAATGTGTTTTTCTGAAAGTTTAGTTAAGATAGAAGCACCTCTTCATTGCAACATATTGGCAGAGATATAATTTGCTATAATAATTCTGATGACCTGAATGGAGCAAATCTGATGCACCAGTTAAGGCACTATAAAAATATAAAGTCAAGTGTTCAGTTAACATTCTGTCTCAATGTTATTTTCCAATGAAGAAAAAAGGAACAGGGAAAGAGTGATAAAGCTCTATGGTTCTTTGACTTCAACAAGGAGGGGAGGAAAACCTTGGAGATAAGAAATAATTCCCTGATGGAAGTCTTACAACCCTAAAATTAACGCTGCAAAATTCTCTTTACTGTGTTTTCCTGTATCACAACAGAGTTAGAGAACTGACAAAGAGCTCCCATGTTAAAAGTACACAGAGGGTACAACATTTGTCCCAGATTAGTACAAATACAGCATGTAGAATGGCCCAGATATTGGTTGTTTTATTTTGTAAAAACTGCTGGAATGAATTCCCCTTCTTCGCCATCATTGTCTAAGCGAACGATCTGTTGATTCCAAAATTCTAATGATCCTCGTTTCTTAAATGTGGATGATTGTTTCACTAGAACCCATGAAGAGGGAGACAGGTTGAGGTAAAAGTATTACAACAGCAATGTTACACTGTATGCAATTTGTCCTGACTTTAATTTTGCTCTGTGTAAACCTTTGGAACAAAGCAGACCATGTTGCTACATTGTACACCATGTGATTGTGATGTCCCTGAAATTGGAAAAAGAGGACATCCGTAAAGGATGGCAGTTTCTAAGCAATAGCTGCAGGCCTGTTTTTAAACAGAGGATTTCACAGAACATTCTAAAACTAAAACCTGGGTCTCATAAAATTTACATTCAACTAAACAAAATTATGGCTGAATGTGCTGGCCTTTCTCATACAAGAACGTGCTAAGAGAAAATTAAGTTCTTGCAGTGTTCAAAATAACAAACAATCAAGTTCCACTTTAACCTGGTGTAGAATGTTGTAGGAAGCCATTCAATATGTCGTTTCTCAAGTTTCCTAAATTTTGGAAATGGTGCTGTACCATTCTTTTTCAGAATGTTTACGGGGTTTTATTATTGTCTTTGAAGGTAAGAAATAG